GATCTTTGTTATTTTCACTGTAAGTCTTCTGTTGATAATTAGTGAAAACAGCGCGAAATTTCATGTTCCTAGCTATATAAATGGAGGAGTTATAACGAAAAATTTTATATCTGAACAATCAGTTGTATGGGAGCTATAGGTTATAGTGACCCGATCTTTGTAATTTTCACTGTAAGTATTCTATTGATAATGGGTGCAAGTACTGCAAAATTTCATGTTCGTAGCTGCATAAATGGAGAAGTTATAACGAAAAACCTCATATCTGAACAATCAGTTGTATGTGAGCTATATGTTATAGTGGTCCGATTCTTCCGGTTCTGACAAATAATTAATACATTATAAAACCACCTACCCACCTACCAAATTTGATCCGGATATCTCGAAAACTGAGAGACTAGATTGCATACAAACAGACGGACAGACAGACAGACGGACAGACGGACATGGCTAAATCAACTCAGCTCGTCGTTCTGATCATATAGGTATACATTTTAATGGGTCTATCTCTTTTTGTTCTGGTACTTACAAACATCGGACCAAAGTTATAATACCATTTCATGCTCATGAAAGGTATAAAGAGGCTCAGACTGCAATTTAAAAGTACAAGCTTTAAAGTCAAGCTTTTTACAGTCAAGCTTTTTGTTAATTGCAGTCAAAACGGCATTTTACAAAAAGCACACTTCAAAATTCATAAACAAATTCTTACTATCAATTCGGTATTTCAAAATTTCCCCCCCCCCCCCGTTCGTCAGTGAAATTATACTTTTTATGTTTGAATCAATAACACAATACTATTTTACCCATCCGATTTATAATTTTTTATTTCAGACTGATGACAAATTATCTTTTAATGAATATATAAAATTATCGGTTGGTGGATTATGTATTTGAGCACAGTGTTGGGAAATAAAATTGTTCCTTCAGTACGGAATCTATACAAAAACTGTACTTTTCGACTGTAAATTGTATCGACTTTTTAATTTGCTCATATGCATGCATGCATAAATAGATTCCCTTCAATACCAATGATTTGATGGTATTCACGGCAAAGTTTATGTAGGTACATTTACATATTTTACACTTTTAACATTAATGTCAAGGCAGATATTTTAAGATACACTTCTTAACAAACATTTTTTTTTAAGTTATTATGAATGGCATTCAGTACTAAAACTTGACATTTCAATTGCTTATCAAAACTTTATACATGTTAACTAGATTCGCCATTTATCTTAAAATTATATAATTTTAATTATTTGTTTATAAAAATGCAGTTTACACTTTAACAAAGCCCGTATAAATACAAAGTTTAATCTTTGCGCATCATTAAAAAAATCAACAAACCTTCGTAAAGCTTTTTAATTAGATTTCCTATAAATACGTATTTTGAGTATGCAGTTTTGTAGCCCAGTCAATTCAAATAAAGCGCAAGTTTAAAATACATAGCTGCGACTTATCGTTGATTTCTAATATTTTTTTTTTTTGATGAAGGCGTTGCTCATTTTCTTCATTAAAAAAAATCGTGAAACATACTTAGATAATATGGAAGAAAATTACAAACATCGTCGAAAATATGCCATACATCAACTGTAAATCACAGCTACTTTAAATTTACACTTTATTAGACTAAAATTGAATGAGCTAAAAAACTGCAAAATATTAAGAGATCAAATTGAAATAGAAAGTTCGAAATTTTTACGAAAGTTTGTCAATTTTTTTTTAATGTTGTTCAAAGATTAAACTTATTTTCATTTAGTGTTTGTTAAGGAATAAACTATATTTTTATAAACAAATAATTCAAATTAAAAAAATAATAAAATAAATAGTCAAATCTAGTCAATATGTGAGTGTCGTAAAGTTATGATATTTAAGAACATCTCTTTCTTAATTAACGATGACACTGTTTCTATATGAAGCTGATTTCGACGTTTTGTTTTAATAAAATTTAGTATCGAAAATATTCTTTCAAAACTTGCCTAGGAATGTGATATAATGGTTCGTTCAAAACCTTTTTTTAAAACTTATAAAGGCAAAAACGAGAAGGCGAAGGCAAAAAGAGAATAAAAAAATTTCCTGCAGTGAATTTTCAGATTTTTAAAACGGTATAGTAATTTAATTAATTTTAAATTTAAATAAAGCATGAAGACCCCATGGAATAAATGAGTAGATAAAAAATATATAACGGTAAAACTGGCACATACATAAATATATGAAAGAATGCACTTAGGCGACGCCTCTAGCCAGATGTCACAGATTTAAGTTATCGATGGAAATTTATTTTCAACCCCCCCCCCAAAACCAAATCCTGGCTACGCCACTGGAGCAGACAATGGTGTAAATAGTTGTGAATGTAATTCCATTGCAAAGGCTACAAAACTAAAAGCTGAATCATGTAACCGAAAGCCTTGGAGGCACGGAACGTCTAAAAAGCTTGCTGTGGAGTTGTACTCTAAGGTTGCAGACAGAGTGGAAGCGAAGCCGAAGATGAAGACAAAGCCGAAAACCAATTGCTTGCGTTTCAGCCAAGCTGGCGAGTGTACATAGTGCGCGATGAATGATATGAAAATAAAGAAAAAACAGCAATTCATGAAATAAATTTGCGTAGGCAAACTTTTGCAGAATTTCGCCACTTATATTATGAGTTCCAGCAAGATGGACAGACGATTTTGTAATATACAAGAATACCAATTAATACGTTTGATTACATTTTGTCAAGAATTGAGCCATTTCACAATTGCTAACAAT